ATGTTCTAGATCTGTTTCAGCAGATATGGGAAATTTTGAATGAAGAGCAGTTGAAATAGAAGAAAGAAAATCATCTTCACCGGTAACTGAAATGTCATCAATGTGAACCGTAATTAAACCCACAAGAACGTTGTTGACCAGTTTAAAGAACAGGGTAGGGTCATGAGAGGATTGCTGTAGACCCATACCAATCAGAGAAGTAGTGAACTTATTGTTCCAGTTCCTTGCAGACTGATGTAAACCATAGAGAGGTAAAATCAGATGACAAACATATTCTGGAAATTTTTTGTCTCTGAATCCTTCTGGTTGTTCCATGAAAACATCCTCTTCCAATCGATTACCATGTAAGAACGCTGCAGTGATGTCAAAACCTTTTACTTTCCACTTTCTTACTCCAGCAACTGTCAACACCACCCAATTTGATTCCTGCCTTGAAGCTGGTGAGAATACATCATTGAAATCAATACCCGGAATTTGACCACTACCTAAAACCACCAGTCTTCCCTTGTACTTATCAATTTCACCTGAAGGTAACAACTTTCTTTTAAACACCCACATAGACCTTAAAACTTTTCTATTAGATGGCCTTGGTACTAATTTCCAAGTCCCTAACTTTCGAAGCGTGTCGATTTCAGTTTCTGCTGCTGCTTTCCATTGTGAGGCTTCTTCGCTATCAATTGCTTTTCGGTAGGACTTAGGTTCGGGTGAAGAAGTGTCAAGAACAAAAGCAGAAGGTGTAAAACGTTCGGGTTCTTTCCTTACTCTAGTACCTCGTCGTAAAACTGGAATTGTAACAGGAGTAGAAGAAGAAGTAGATGAGTCGTCAGAAGGAGCAGAATCGATAGGTAAAGGTACAGTTGGTTCGATTGGTACCAAAGATGATGGTTCAGAAATATCTATTTTGATCTTAGATGAAGGTACTTCAATAGGTTCAATAGTTTGATGTTGATTTACAGGAACACTAATTGGTGAATCGATCGGTATTTCAGATGATGTTTTTGATCGAGTAAGCACATGGTAAGGTTGTACAGGCTCTTCGATTGAAAGTAGATCAGGCCATGGAAGAGAGAGCGCATCGGACGTTTTTTTTGTTAGGTTCAAGTATAAAAGGAAATTTACTAGGAAAAAATTTAAATGATGCGGTTTTGACTATGAGATGACGAGCTCTATCGTAAGCAACAACATATTTACCATCAGGTACTGAATGTAAGAATACTGCTTCCTGAGAAACTGGAGCTAGTTGAGATCGTAAAGGTGGGGGTAAAAGATACTCGACAGCACAGCCAAATGGTGCAAACAGTTTGATATCATCAGGTCCATGATCAAGAGCTGAAAGAGGAGAACGTAAACCTGCATTGGTTTTGGTTGGAAAGTTATTGAAGCTTAGAACTATTTGTTGCAGACATTCAGGCCAGAAGAATAACGGAACATTGGATGACGAAAACAAGGTACGAAGACGTTCGGACGCTGTACGATTCCATCGTTCCGCAACACCATTTGATTGTGGTGTATAAGGAGCACCACAAAAGGCAGTGATACCTTGATGAAGACAATAATCGGTCATATTTTTATTAACATATTCGGAACCATTATCAGAACGAAGACTGAGGACATTAAAATTGAATTTAATCTTGATAAAATTGACAAATTTCTTGAAATACATGTAAACTTGATCTTTGCTTTTCATAGCATAACACACGGTGAATTTAGAAAAATCATCTATAAAAGAAACAAAATAGGGATAACCAGCTTTGGACTTGAGGGGTAAGAAAGCGACATCTGAATGAACTACACCAAAAGGTGTTCGAGAGCGGTGAGGTGATCTACTCCTAAAAGTTGTCTTATGTAACTTTCCCCGACAGCAATGAATGCAGTTCTTGACATCATCTACGTCTTTTTGAGTTAAAGGAACGGAAATCTTCATACTCGATAATGCTCGTTTTGTACCAATTTCACCTAAATGACCCAAAATACAGTGCCAATCATAAAAAGATTGATTAGGATCTGGGTAAACAGATGAATGAAGACAAAGGCTGCTAACTTCATATTGCAGAATTGGTAAACCTCCTTGGTAAAAGCCAGTAGCCACAACACTACCACCTTGAGAAAGAATTTCAACTCGATCCTGTAGAAATGATGTTGAGAAACCTAAAGATCGTAGTTGAGAAATCGACAAAAGACTATGTTGTAGTCCTGGAACTTCGATGACATCCATAGTAATAGTGCCTTTAGACCATGGTAACGGAACAGCACGTTGTTGAGAGACTTTCAGGCTAATACCGTTGGCAACTCGAATGGATGGAATCTTGGAAGAATTCAAAGCTACAGATGTAAGGATCTCTTCAGAGGTAAACGAGGGTACACATGTCTGGGTACATCCAGAATCTAATATCCATAAACGCTTTCCAACACCGGTAGATAAAGCACAGGCATCGGTAGTGACCAAGAACCCGGAACCTTCTGGTTGATGAAATTGAGTATTGGGGGCAGGGTTCCATGCTGATAGAGGAATCAATTCGGTCGATGGAGAAGGTTGTTGGATTGAAGGTTGATTGACCAGATTAACTTCTGGAGCACGAGACGTAGAAGAGAAAGACGGTTGACTCTGAATCATTTGAGAAAAAAATTGTTTGGCCAACTTATTACATGTTTGCCAAGCATGACCTTTCAAGTTACAGTGAGAACATATCAAATCGTTAGTTGCAGAGGTGTTTGATCAAAAGTTGGGTGTTCGTTGTTTGCCTCTTCCTCGATTGGATGAATGATTAACTTGAGGTTGAACAACTGATTGATTACGATCATTGGTCACAGACAAGATGTGAGAGCTGGAAGCTTGATCACGACGACGGATTCCCTCTTGACGAAGAGAAGACATCAGAGAACCAGCCGTAAGAGAATTTTGGTTCATGAGACTGCTAATAGCTGCATTCCAATCATTTGGAAGAGAAGCACTGATAGCAGCGCATACAATGTCATCCATACTTAGTTTGGACTTAGAGATAAGTTGATTTAAACGAGTTGCAAGCTTCTCAACGTTTGAAAGATGAGTATCGATGTCGTCGTCCACCATTTGACAAGAAATCAAACATCGAAGAACTAACATCTTCGATCCCATTGAAGCATCGTTGTGAGAATCGGATAAGGATTGCCACATAGCAGCAGCGTTGCCCATATGAGGCCTCATGACAGAGTAGTTTTTGGAATGAGCTTAACGTAAAAGCACCGAACAGATGGCGTGGTTTTGCTGAGTCCAGTGAAAATTAGGCTGATCTGCATCTCTTAACTTAGGATTCAAGATGTGAGCCATACCTGCTCCAATGATAGAGCCAGACATTGCAAGTTCCCAATTGGCGTAGTTGGAGTTGTCACCTGGAGGTTCTAAAATAGTTAAACCTACAACTGAAGATGTAGGTAAAGCCAAGGGTCCCCACTTTGAACCGACCGAAAATAAGTCGTCAAAGTTTGTAGGAGGAGTGGAGGGTTCCTTGGGTTTTGTCGAGGAAGATGTAGTAACCTCCTTGCCCTTGACGGAAGAATCTGGTGCAGATGTAGATGCCATTATTACTGATTTGAATCGTGAGAAGAAAAAAAATCGATATCGAGATTGACGAGATTTGTTAGGCGCTCATAACCTGTTGGACTGAATCCAAACACAAAACAGAAATCTTAGTATAAGATAAAGAGAAACAAACACGACGATCTTATAATAAGATTTTGTAAAGAAACAGTCAGATGAGAAAAAGAGAAATCTATCAGACTGGTGTTAAGCATCAGGTTATAAAGAAAACAAAAAATGAAATACAATGAATGACGTCATAAGATCATTGACGTAATGTTCCTCATTTGGCTATATGATGTAATGTAGTCAAAATGAGAACAACGAGAATGGTCAAGATCAGAAATACATTTATGAGAAATACATTAAGAATGAATAAGACATTTGAAGCACAAATAAATCCAACAGTCAAGCACACAGGCAAAGAAGTGAACAAGACAACCAGACGAGATGAGGTGTGTGAATTTTGAACCCCTAGTGTTGGCTAGTTTATACATAGGATCAAATCCATGCACTGAGTTGGACACAATGATGAGTAATTAATCTCGTAGTTGATCGCTTCAGAACTTGGTATAATGGTAAGGTAGAGGGAAACAAAGTTTGGGGACCAAAAGTTGCTTGAAGTGAGGCTGGTAAACATCTGCTGTCTTTTCGATCTCAGCAACTCGGAGGATCTAAGGAGAAAAAGAGAATTGTAAAATGAGTGAATTATAAACTTGATCAAGATGATAATCAATTTGAGGTTTGCTTCACCTGAATCGAACAGAATTGAGCACGGTGACGAGAAGCCATGTCCTGGTAGCAAGCGTGAACAGCATCGGCTCAAGACATCTCACGGGATTCCTTGTACATGTTGTGGCCCCAGATCGAGAATCATATCGCCACCAGATACCAAAGTTTTTAACCTTGAGAGGTTTTTTCTTGTGAATCTAATAGAAAAGAATAATAGATTGTGAGTTGGGATTCAAGAAGAGAATAATGAATCTCAAGCCTAAAGATATGATCAACATACTTGATTAATTCCAACAATCTCACCCAAAGCTTTCTTAAGCTTTCTTAATTGTCTAAGGTAGTACCAAAATAGCACACAGTTGTTGAAATCTTACCATCTTGGGATTCCAAAGCTTGAGGCTGAAGAAACCGGAGTGACCGTACTGAACTCCAAACTACGGTGGTGATACAGCCAGAATACGGAGACGGCGGTACGGTAACCCCCCTAATTATCTGAGGATTTCCAGACTACGGTACGGTTTGACCGTAGCGGGTCAGACCGCAGCCTACGGTGTCTAGACCGTACCGCACCGCACCGTAGGCCGTTTTTCTCTGCGGTTCGGTTTGTGTGTTGACTGAAGATAATGTATTACAGCAAGGCCAGAACTACAACATCTCCGGACCGTTTGGCCAAAACAATGTTACAAAACAAGCACTGATCAAACATACACCCATGAGCCAGGTGAATGTGGGTCCATTGCAAGCCGGTCTCAACGCCATTGCAAGGAGAGCTTGGGTCGGCGGCGTTGGTCTAGTCCAATCAATCACGTTTGAAGAAGGTTCTAGGCCTGGGATGCCTTGGAACGCCATCCTTGCCGTCACTCACAATTATTCCGATGCCTTAGTCAGTGGGTTTTTTCTGCTTTAACACCTTTACTGTTGTTGATACTTTATCAGACCACAGGCAGGAACAAATTCACCGTCATCTACAACTTTGGTTTCTTTACACCACTACCAACTTATTGGAGCAAGCTGATCGTTGGTGAAAAGATCTGGGTTGATGCTATTCTCATTGGCAAGGACAAAGAAACCTCTTTCTTCATTGCTGAGGTACGTTGCAACTAGATTGGAATAATGGACTATTAGAACCTTGAGTATTTGTGATCAAGAGACTACTGAGAAAGGTGCCTTGGGATTATAATAAGATTGCAACGTGAGGATTAGGAAAATCTCTGACTGGCACAGTATAAGCGCACAATAATCTCAGTACAAGCATAGCCTAGTAGTGGCTCATAACACCACTCCCCCTTTATGTTACCACTCCCTCTTGCTGAGTGAAACATCTTTCCACGGGTTTGCATTAAAAAACCCCAGTGGGGAAAAAGCGTCACCCTCTCACCATTCTCCTTTTCCTGTTGTTTGTCTCCATTCTCTTTCCGTATTTCTTTTCAAATTCATTAACTAAATCTTTTGCGTTTTGAACTCCTTCTTCCGGTTCCCACGAATCATGTTCAGCACTATACCCTTTCCAGCTTACTAAATACTCAATTTTATTTCCTCTTCTTCTTTTATCTAATATTTCAGCAACTTCGTATTCTTCTTTGTTTTGAATTATAATTGGCGGTGGTTCTGCATTTTGTTGATCAGAAATTTTGCTTTTGTGATATCTTCTAAGTAAGCTGACATGGAATACCGGATGGACTGTCTTCATTGAAAGAGGTAGGGTCAGCCTATATGCATTTCCTGTAATTTTCTTTTCAATTTTGAATGGGCCAAGCCATCTATGGCCAAACTTAGCTGAAGGTCTCGTTGTTGATATGTGTTTGCTATTCAACCACACCTTTTTGCCTTCCTCCCATTCAGGTGAAGCCAAGACTTTCTTGTCGAATTGAATTTTCATTTCATGTTGCGCCTCTTCCATTGCTCCTTTAAGTTCTTGTTGCACTTCTTGAATTTGCTTGATTCGATCTTCAACTATTGGTAAGCATTGATCTTCCGTCGGTACTCCTGAAAATGCAACATCATACCCATAGTTAGCTTTGAATGGCGACATTCCTATGGACACATGAGTATTATTGTTGTAAGAAAACTCGGCCATTGGAAGGAGTAAGTCCCAATCATTTTGCATATACGACGTGAAGTGTCGTAGATATTGTTCGACCGCTTTGTTGGTTATCTCTGATTGACCGTCAGTTTGAGGGTGATACGCTGTCGACGCCTGGGTGGTAATGCCTAGCCTTTTATTCATCTCTTTTGTAATTCTTGAGATAAAGATACTACCTCGGTCAGACGTGACACTTTTTGGGGTTCCATGAATACGCCATACGTTTTGAATCATCAGCGTTGCTAGCTCCTCAGATGTCATTGATTTCGAATAGGCTACAAAATGGGCCATTTTGGTTAATCTGTCCACAACTGTTAATATGCTGTCATGTCCATTGGACTCCGGAAGGTCAGTAATCAAATCATAGCATATATCAGTCCACAGTCCATAGGGTATTGGGAGAGGTTGTAAACTTCCAAACGGCTTAGAGGTTCTCGCCTTTACCCTCTGACACGACTGACAGCCATCTACATACTTGTTGATGTAGGCTTTCATTGACGGCCAAAAGTATGATCTTTTCACCAACGCTAGCGTTCTTGACCTTCCAGGATGACCCGCGATCTTACTATCGTGCCTTGATCGTAAAATTTGAATTTTGAGATTTGCAACATCAGGTACTTCAACACGCTCATTTTTGTACAGAATGCCATCAGTTGTTGAGTATCCCATTAAATGTTTTGAATTTGGCATTTCTATAAGCATTCGTTGAATTTCTGATATTCTTTGATCTGACTTTGAGTATCTTCTGATTTCCTTCATTATTTCACCGTCACCCCATATTAAGTCTTCATATTCTCCAGCCATCAGTTCAATTTCATTGCACGTAAATTCTTCTAGTTCTTCTTTTTCTATCCAGGCTTCTGGGAGGTCTAATTCATCAATGAAAGCATCCACGGGGAGGTTCTTAGGTTTCAGTAGTTGTCCGAAGGTCAGTTTTTCTTCCTTTGATGGTGCTAGGTCCGGTCGTCGTGATAATGCATCAGGTTTCGTGGATTGTCGTCCCGGTCGAAACCTAATCTCAAAATCAAAGCTGCCTAGTACTTCAACCCATCTAGCCTGCCTTCTCGTAAGTTCCTTCGTGGTCATCAGTGATTGAAGGTTCTTGTGATCAGTGTATACGATAACACTCAGCTGATGTGGGTTTCCTTCCAGATATTGACGCCATTCCTTAAAAGCCGTTACTACTGCTAATAATTCTTTATCAAATATTTCATAATTTCGTTCAGCTTGAAGCAATGATTGTGACAAAAAGGCAACTGGGTGTAGTTCTTCGTCATCCTTTGATATCTGCGACAGCACTGCTCCAAGTGCAAAGTCGGAACAATCACACTCAATGATGAACGGCCTATACGGGTCTGCTATTTTCAATACTGGGGCTGATATGAATGCTTGTTTTAGGCGGTCAAATGCGTATTGTCGAGCTTCAGTCCAATTGAACGGAGTTTCTTTTTGCGATAATTCATGCAACGGCTTTGCTATTCCAGAAAAATGAGAGATAAATCTTCTGTAGAAATTCGCGAATCCCAGAAACATTTGTACTTCTGATAAGTTTCGAGGAGCCGGCCAATCTTTCACAGATTTCACCTTTGAATCATCCATACGTATTTGATTGTGTGATATTATAAGTCCTAGATATGACACCTCTTTTTGAGAAAACTTGCATTTTTCAGGTTTGAGCCATACATTCTGTTCTTTGAGAATCGTGAGGATTTCTTTCACTTTGGCTTCATGGTTTTCTCCCCTTTTTGTATAAATCAAAATATTGTCCTGGTAAGCGGCGACATCTTTTCCTATATGAGCTTTAAGTATATCTTGAATGAAATATTGAAAGAACCCTGGTGCGCCTGTCGGACCAAAGGGCATGGTGAGTGGTTCAAATTGCCCTGCTTTGCACAAGAACGCAAGCTTTGCTTCGTCTCCTTCTCGTACTCGTAGATTGTTGTAACCGTTCCTCATATCGAGACTGGTGAAATCTTCAGCGTCTAGAAGACTATCTATCAGTTCCATTGTCAGAGGCAAAGGATATTTGTTCTTGACAGTCAGCACATTTAGTCGTCAATAGTCAAAACAAGGGCGTAGGTTCCCATCCTTATTCCCAGTGAAAAGGACTGGTGCCGCCCAAGGAGAGGTGGTTTGACGTATTGTTCCGTTTTTCAAGCCTTTATCTATCATTTCATTAAGAGCATCATTTTCTTTGGGTGATAGAGGAATGATTCTTCCTGCTTGCGGAGTTGCACCAGGTACTAAGTCAACTCTGAAGTCGTATGGTCGATGAGGAGGTAATACATCGGCCTTGCTCTTCTCAAACATATCCAGGTATTCATGATATGTACTTGGTACTAATTCAGCGGCTGTCTTTGCAGTTTGATCCTTCGCTTTCTCAGCAGCTAGTTTGGCTGAGAAGTTCCTTGATGTTTTAGCAGCAGCTATACTCACATAAGACTTTGTCAGTCTCGGTGTTAGGATCTTTCTTGCTGCTCGCCATAAGCTGTGAGGCCGTGTCGTCGGTGTTAGGGATAATCTGTTATTTGGAAGAGAAGCTTGATTGCAACCGGTTCTTTTAACAAATGGTGACAATACGGTAGCAGACTCACATTGCGGGGGTGTTTGTGAGTCTAATTTCGACTCCACCCCCTCTTCACAGTTCCTAGCTTCCTCCATGTTGCTCACTTGGCTTCTCGGAGGTGTTTTCGGACTTGAAGACGCTGCAATGTTAGCTTTCGGACCAGCGCTTGTCTTTTGAGGTGTGTTCGAGTGATCAGATAATTCTACAGGGAGATAAAGCTTGTGACCTGTTTCATTGAAAATTGGAACTTGACTCGAATCGTACTCACATTGCGGGGGTGTGAATGAGTTAAACTTGAACTCCACCCCCTTGTCACGGTTCCTAGCGTGCCTTTCTGGCTCCTTTGATACCTTCGAGGCTGTTTTCGGACCAGACGAAATCATTGATTCAGACGGAACTGAATCAATGACCGCAATGTCGCCATTCTCGCTCTTTAAGCAGCTCCTACTCCAATCAATGCGCTCATGGTTCTTCTTTATCCATGGCATTCCTAGGATCAGGTCGTATTTGTCACGTAGCTCAGTGATAATGAAGGTGGTTGTCGAATCTTCTTTGTTAATGATATAATCTCCTACTTCGTTGATGTGAGAAGTGTGTCCACTAAAGCCTGTCACTTTTCTTGGTTCTTCCAGCGGGGAGGTTGTTAATGTGTGCTTCTTCACAAATGCACTGCTCTCTGCTTCATGAGTTGCTCCGCTGTCAATGAGGGCGCGGGCAACTGTTGTCGTGGCATGGGATGGGTCTGTTAGGTGGACAAAATCAATAATTCTTGTATCTTTCATTTCCAAACTACTGATATCTCCTAACTTCTCCATACATAAACTGCTCGGGGGAGGCACAACATTCACTCCCGAGCATCGCCATTTTTTGACAATTCAGCCTTACTACTACTACTCTCTACAACGCTACCACTACTACCCCCTAATTGACTTTCAAGTTCAGCGATCCTAGCTTTTAATTTGCCTTCCGTTGAATAATTTGAATAATTTTTTCCTCCTAAATTCCAGTTCCTCCCACGTTTACCAGCAAAGCACTCCACTATGAAATGACCTGTTTTACCACATTTGTAACACGCTTTCGCCATTCCTCTTCTTTTATACTCTTCATTAGAGATGTTTAATTTGTAAGCTGAGCAATCCATAGCATCCGGATCAATGGTTGAGGCTGAAGTAGACGTAGTCGCGGCTGATGCATAACTGGTTTCACTGGTATGCCTATTTATCTTGTTATCTAATTTAATTGCATATTTAGCCATATCTTCAGCCTTTTCAAATTCTACATTTACCATATAAACTGAAATTTCCCTCTTTAACCCTTGTTTGAAATGAGACATTAGGATATTTTGAGGCCATTTGATCACAATTGCCAATTCCGAAAATTTAATCCAATAGTCTGAAACCGTTCCCTTCTGCTTTAATTCTCTAAACTCTTTTTCTGCTTTGGATACGCGTTCAGAGTCAAAAAAGGTCGCTTTGAATGAATCAATAAAGCCTTTCCAAGTTACTGTATCCGCTAACTCGGAGTCTAGAAGTTGATCAGTCAAGTTTTGGCCCCAGATGCTGGCTTTGCTCGACATATATGATAATGCGAACGCAACCTTTGCTTGATCATTAGCAAATAGGTGATTGTTGAGCTGCATATATAAGCCTAATTGATTCATGAACACCTTGGCCTTTGAACCTTTGCTGCCATCGAATTTGTCGGGAGTCGACATTTTTGGTTGGCGTTGAGATTGAACGGTTTGATTCACGTACACAGGTTGAGCCGGCATGGTAGTAGGATTTCCTTGAACATTATCAGCGGGTATGTTAGTTTCAAACTGACGTAAGCGTTGTTCGGCTTCTTGTCGTTTTTGTGATTCTTCCGCTAGGCTGGCTTTAACTTCATTAAACTGAGCCAATAATTGATTCATTTGCCTCAATACTTCAGCCAGAGTTGGGTCATTTTGTGGTTCCATCACGTTCTCTTCGAGTTCGTGGAAGACCTCGCAGGATTTATTTGATTCGTTGCTTGACTCAGAGGTCGAATAACTTGGTACGTTGAAACTTGGCGTTTTGGATCTTCTTCGGTGGTAAACTAATTCTACAGTGGTAGGCTAACTTTAATTGCGGATTTTCAATCTGATTTCACTTGCTGCTTTCCACCTAATTGGATTGCGGAGTTAAACTAACTTAAACTTTGAATCTGATACAGATCTTGAACTTTTGATTTATCTTTAAACTTTTCTTCTTAACTTTTCGATTAACCTGTTTCTTCTTTCTTGATGGTTGTAACTTGCTGTAGACTATTGATCTAAAGGTAGACATTGCAATATATTAGGACCTTGAGTATTTGTGATCAAGAGACTACTGAGAAAGGTGCCTTGGGATTATAATAAGATTGCAACGTGAGGATTAGGAAAATCTCTGACTGGCACAGTATAAGCGCACAATAATCTCAGTACAAGCATAGCCTAGTAGTGGCTCATAACATGGACCAAGCTGATTGTTCCAATCTTTTAGCTCGAACATTACAACACCTTCTAAACGACATACCACAGTCAACTCAACCAACACAACCATTGAACTTTTGACAACAATAATACACCACCGAACCAATTCCTCTAATTGCTTCACATCAATTATGCTCACTATACGATTAATGTATCAAATCAATTGTTTATGTTACATCTTATGCAAGAGATTCATGCTCTTTGTCCTATTGTTGCCTTTTGACAATTCTGTCCATGCATGCACTGGACCAATGCAAAATTTGGGGCTTTCATTCCACAATAAAACCAATGCAATGCAAAAGCCGGTGATCTCCATGAAGAATTTAATTGAGATTAAAAGCAGGTTCCCGCCATACTTGAAGTGAATTTTATCTTTTTTTCTGGACTTTTAACGGACTAAAATTATAATCATAATCTATCTCGAATTAGATTATGATTACTTTTTCTTTGTGTTTTTTCTGCACTCTACAGAAGTGCAACTTCTTTCATTATGCTTATGTTGGTCTAATCTTAGTTGTGATTACGACTCTAATACTTTTCGAGATACTCCTATCAACAGTCTTAACTAAGTGCTTTCACTCAAAAGTTTATGAAAGCGCTTTCACTCAAAAGTAAAAGACGAAGTGAGTGGAGTGCTTTCACTCCACTCACTCAAAAGAACATTCTCTACCCCCAATTTTTGTTAAGGCTGGCTGGTCGTGCTTTCCTCAAAATAATATAAATACCCCCATGAAATCGCCCACATCTTCTCAGTACATTCACCATCAGTTTAAGTTTGTCAAATGGCAGTGTGCCAAAATTGATGAACCTGATCTTTACATTGAATCATGATCTCTCTGTAAGGCGGTGCGCCAATATCAGTGAACTTCCCTTTTTTTGCTTCATCTATCATTTATATAATTATTAGTTTGCTTCAACTGTTGAAGATGAATTATAAAGTCATTGTCGTCGCTATCAAAGCAATTTAACTGCACAAGTATATTGATATTGAGACACAAAATGGTTGACTAACACAAACAAAACACGCCACAGCTCTACAAAGACTTAATTACCTCTGCTTCTAAACATACAAGAAGCGCTGTGTTTCTGTACACGGTCTTTTTTATTTGGAATAATGAAAGTTCAACCCAAGGAACCACCCACTTGAGTCGAAAAGATCATATCTGACACCCCGTCGTCAAAACTTGCCTCATCCCCCCCTTGCACGGGATTTGGATCCATACTTTGCAACCCCATTGCTGGACCCCTTTGTCAGCTCTAGACTAATTCTTCGAGATGAATAGACTAAGTCAAGAGATGAAATGTACTTTACAAAATGTATTTCTTCAAATCTGAATGTTGATTCTAGACTAGAGAGGAATTATTTTTCGATTCTTTGTAAAGTAAAGAGGTTAAGCTACGATTGTTAATTGTAACTGTCTATGGTGCGGAATTGAGAACCGCTGCCAGTATATTAGCAAGTACAATTACTTGATAATCTGCCGAGGTAAACACTTACGAGAGTGTAGAATCCTTGGGTGACGCTTTAGCGTTGATTTGATAAGACAATTCTTTATCAAAGTGGAAAAAAGGTATTTAGGAACTTTAGTCGGATAACTACTAGTTAAACGATCTGTAACGTCCTATTGGTGGAAATGGAGTATAAAGAAAATAGAGCGAGAGAAAAAAGGTCCGAACGATGATTGTTAGTCTAAACTAAAGGAAATTTATCGGTAACGATTTTTCTAAAGTGTAAGTTCTAATTTTTATCAAACGGATAAAAGGGATTTGATTTCTAATTCTGAGTTTTCGTATAACGGAAAAGGATGAATTTGAAAAATAGTAAAAGATAATTTTTGTGATGGAAAAGGATTGTCCTCTTTCTTTGTTCAAAAGATCATTAGTTTTTAACTATTCCAATTATTTGGTTAGAGCTTGATCCGGTCCAGTCCCTGATTAGGGTTGACGCGCTTCTAACTTAGTTACGCCTGGTCAGGGTAAGTTCTATTCTTGATTGTCCTGGTTTCTACTACGTGGATCCTTCTCAGTTAGGACTGATGAAGGGTCTCTTGATCATATCGTGATCAGACAAAGGGTGTCCTAATTACATTGTTATGTAATTATGATTTCTAACTTGTTGGGCTCTTGAAACTCGAGCTTGAGAGATGTGTTTAATATTTTATGGGGTGGGTGATTTTTACACCGACTCCTTTACACCGGATTGTTCTGTGTAAACACGGGTCGGTGTAAAATTCCAAAGACGGGGGGTGTTCTTAGATTTTTACACTTGTTTTGAAGTTTTTTTTTCGGTGTTAAAAAAAACAGTGTAAAAAAACTGTGTAAAAATCTTGTTGCCGGTCGTGAGTTCGAATTTTACACAGTTTTTTTTACACATGATAAGGCGGTGTAAAAAAATCCAGTGTAATATTCACGGGCCCCGACCCGAAGTGTATTTTTACACCGAGCAAGCTACACCAAATTGCCATGTGTAACATCGGGTCGGTGCAAAAATGTAATTTTGCTGAGCTGACATTGAATTTTACACCGAACCTTTACACCGCAACTGTTCAACGCATAACCTTCACATCCTTGAATGCCTGAAGGTACCATACAAACCAAACATCAGACGTATATACCTGATGTTTGGCCGACAACACAAGATATCAAAGGCACGCAATTGCAAGTCCAAACAATCGCAATACCGTTATACCGCCGTTTCACGTTTCCCACATATCCACATATCCATGGAGTGGAGGCCCATGTGAACAGATTACGGTTCATGATCATATGAATTATGTTCATGATCATATGAACAGAAGCAATCCAGATCGGAAACAGGATTATGTTCCACTTTGGGAGTTTTCTCCCGGATTGCATCACGATGATATAAACCAATCGTCTATTTTGTTGACGACCGTTTCTCGGTTTGACAACACGGCTTTCAAAAGCCACCACTCTCTAATACTTTCCCTTTTACTCTTATCAAAAGCTTCATTACATTTTCGACGTTACTTTTAAAGAAAAAATTGACGCTTTTGGTCATTTGTATTGGTTTCTATAACTTCGACCTGCTGTTGGGAAACAACATGGGTCATACACTCTCCTCTCCATTGGCCGCCCCGGTGGAACATACGGCAGAGGGAGAGAATGACTTGTCGACCGTCCATCATACCCCAGAAGCCATTCCGTTTGATCATTCCCATTTGGAAAATCTGGCCACTGTTCCTCCAAGCTCCCCATTTACCATCATCTCGACTTCAGACTGCAGTTTGTCTTCTTTGGATCCCTTACCATCCAGTCCTTTACGCAAGATTTCATTACGATTAGAATCTATTCGACTTCATAGATCTCCAAGCATAACCACGATGTCTGCCATGTCTGAAAACTCCGAAATTGTAGTCAACAACTTCGACAACGACAACGTAACTCATGTTAGTGATTCTGACGACAACACTCACGTTAGTGAATCTCCCCAACCCAATCAAAACTGCAAAACCCGGCAATTGCAGCTTCCCTTCAACAAAAACCATTTTTAAACATGGATCGATGAAGGCAGTGACCTCGACGAACAAGGTTAGCCCTTATATCCCAACGGCAACACGCTGTTTGTGAAGAATCCAGAGGATGAAATCACCAATTTCAAAGAGGGAATGACGACCATTGTGTGGACTCACACAATGCGGACTGAACGCAACGACATTTGGACTATTCGACGATATTATTGCCTTGGTCTTCTCACTTGCTCTGAACCAGGCTGCCAACTCGCGGGATTGCCACCTACCGGCCACAAAGGCATCGAGAAACATCTCGCAAAGTACGTATTTTTCATTATGATCCTTTCATGACAATCACCTGGCTTAGTGATGTTTGTCATGAAAGGTTTCCCAATTGCACCGTGTCCAGGTGCCCCGGTGTGGTGAATCACTTGGAGTGTCATGCACGCTGCCGAGTTGACAAGGACACAATCGAAAAGTGGTATTTGCTCCGTCATCAAGGCCAACACACCCATCGATGGCCAGACCCCAAGAAGGCCGATCCTCTTGCAAAGGAGAAGTTGGAAGCGGCTGTGTTGGCTGATCCCAAATTGGGACCCCTTGGTATGAAGGTACGTCTCTTCAAACATCCACCTTTAGCTTGTGAATTCAAACTGACTGTTTTTCCCTTAAAGGTTGGACGCGCTCGTGTTGGAACCGCACCTATTCCCTCGATTACAGACGTACATTCTTCTTTTGCGCATACCGACCGCCTTGGATATTTGCGACGTGAGATCCTCGCCAAACACGGTTTAATGGACGACAAGAATGACAAACATGGAGGAGACCGATGGTATACGCAGATCAGGCATTGGTCCAAGTATGTGATAGCTCCACTCTTTCGTCTTTACTTGTGGTGTTTCACATAGCCCTCTTTTGATATCTGATGTATCTTGTATCTTTTGATATCTGATGTATCATCTGTTGGCACCGACAGGAAAGGAATGAAGATTGTTTCGGTTACCATGGACGACAACAACCATTTTACCTTCCAAACCAAGTGGATGGCCGAAATGCTAGTACTCCAACAAGAAGACGGCGAAGCCTACTCTGGCGGCCTCTTGTCCGATGTAACTTATAAGTTTTTTCTGAATGGTTACCTATTAACTACGTCGATGTACAACGAGAAACTGCAGCGCTGGATACCAATACTACTGACGTGGCTCGGAGGACTTTCAACGTTACATTACAAGGCTCATTTCGTTACACTCTTGAAGCAAATCCAGAAGACTGAATTATCAGATAGAGAAAAGAGACGCCTTGTCGAACAAGTTGTTGATTTTTCTGTAGCTCAGAAGAATGGGTTCATAGATGCATACTTGGAGGTATTCAACATACATGATCGCAAGATACCTTTCTCAAAGTTGCATGGCTGTGAACAGCATTATCAACAGGCCGTTACTCACATATCGAAAAACCACAAAATTGTCAAGGTTAATATGGTGGTAAGTCACCAGTCTTTGGTCTTTTTTCCACTTCCGTATCTCATTCATTCCCCTTTGTCAATCTTTTCTAACATTCAAATCTTATAGGGCACTTGGAAGAAACTATGCCGGGAGCTTCTTCTCCCGGATGAACCTGGACGTCCCAATCTTGAACAAAGATTCAAAGACTTGCGACGATTGTTTCCTTTGGCGAAAAAGTGGATCGACTGGTGGTATGCGGCGGATGTCCAAGCTATGCTTTTCCCGGCGCGGAAGCGGATTCCTGAAGATGATCCACCTTTACCTGACGAAGAATCAGATGACGAAGACGACGGTAAACCTCGCAGGCGCTCTGATTTGCCCAAGACCACCAATGCACAAGAATCATTACACCGTGTCTATTACATGCTCTGGTATGTACCTCATTAATGGGTTTTGGAATTGGAATTCCACATCACAAGTCTAACATTATTTATTTTGCTCTTTTGTTTGTTTCAGTGATGGCAAGTGTGGGATCATTTCCGGCATGATCCAACTCTTTGCCTTTGTATCAAGTTTACAGCGCGACTACGAATCCCGATTGAAGGGCATCTCTGTCACTTACGGTTCCAGCAATCAGAACTGGCAAGACGTTGTGACGTCGTTAGGTATGGCCAAACCAACGAAACACAGATATATTGCGAACGACGGCCGTGCACCAGACACCACCCAAGAACTACTGGACTATGCTGATGAACATTCCGGCAAAGTGGTCAAGAAGAAAGGCCCTGGACGTCCTCAGGGTTCCCAGAACATCAATCGAAGTGCTTTAACGACGTACAAGTCTTATACCTCTGGATCGACCATTGGCACCTTGAATCGATGCTGGCAGACTGCCACACTCGAATCTCTCTATGCTCTTTGGGGACCTCTTTGGTCCGACCACACCAACGTCAATGGCAGCTCTTTGCCCACCATTGTCATTCGACATTTTACCGGTCGTTGCGATGCTGAAGTGAATCAAGGAAAGCACCTCGGTGGATTATTAAAACAAGGGCAGAACATTATTCACAAGGTGATTCAAGCCCTCAAACCCGAATCATATATCTCTGACGAGTGCTGTTTGGCCGACGGCTTCATGGATATGATGGTTGATCACCCGTCAACTAGGCCTCTATTTGCAATCAATGTTACCAAGACCTTGATATGCCATTGCAACCATACTCACAATCGAGAAACTACTAAATATCTAGGTTGTTTCCGGATTTTTCCGTCTATGTTCAGGGAGACTGCCCTTGCTTATGGACAACTCGACGTAATGCTACAAGATTTTCTCTCCAACGGTGTCATAACGGAACCCGGCCTTGTATGCCGTCAATGTCATCCAAAGAAGCGACAAGGCGGCGATGAAGGCGATCTGACGATGCTCGAACAACGTATGAAGATAGAACATACGTTGCTACCTTTACATCTCTACTTTCTCTTGGACAACGTCATGGCTTTAGATTCCAAGGAACGAGGACGTTACATGGGAGATACCAACTGGCCAGCTCGTTTAGTAATTGGTAAAGCCCAATATCAGATGGTCACCCGTGGGTTTTGGGGTGGTAACCATTATTGGTGCCAGGTAGTGCGGTCAGTGGAAGGCGTCTTGGGTGTATGGCATTATGATGAGCTCAAGAATGGAGGATTTGCCCAGCTGATATCCCGCGACGTAGACAGCATCTCTGGATGCATTGCTAACACCAGCTGGACGTGTTACACGCGGGTCCCCTTCGAATCTGAAGCTAACAAAGTCAAAAAGGCGCTTCTGGACTTGATGAAGAGGTTTCCTGACCAACACCTCTCGATGCCTTTCTCAATGCCCACCAGCACGATTCCTTTTGGAGGAGGCCTTCCCTCCCTTGCTGACGAAGGCCTTTTAAGCACCACCATCATACCCGATGAGGTCTCATTGCCAGTGGTTACTCACGGTAAAGCAGATGAAGAAGAAATCTGCGAAAACAACGATCAAGACCTTCACTACGAACATGACGATGATGAAGAACTTCTGCACAATAATGACGACATTCTCTACGCTAATGAAGACCATCGCGATGAAGATGTGGTCATGGGAACCTCTGAGGCCGACGTCGAGGTTAATGAGGACGCTCTATCTCATCAAGCTTCGGAGGAACTCATTCCACCTGTGAACCCTGTCAACTTGAAGATCAAGTTGGCCATACCCAAGTCAAAGGAGCGTTCACCTCCAGTTGCCTCCACACCTGCTCGACCACGTAAGTTCCCCCTTCCTTCTTAACTATATTTGACCTTATTCGTACTTCACAGGGCTCTAATTTGTTCAAAGCTGCAGGTACCAAGCGCACGCGAAATGCTACCAAGAAGGCTGAGGTCTTGCAAGAGGACGACAGCTCTGCAGCGGATAAACGAAAGGCTGCAGCTGAGAGGCGCAAGGCTACAGCTGAGAAGCGCAAAGCTGCAGCTGCAAAAGGGCGCAAGGCTCACTTTCCCACCTGGGAACCTCTTTAATGCTGGCAGTGGGAGGAGTGATTTTTCTTCTTTTAAATCAAACAAATACTTTAAATGGAAAGCCCGTCGAGCTTATCGTGCTTTCTTTGTTATGAAAGTGTTTCCTTTTATTTCCTGTCTTGCTGTGCGTCGAGCATAAACGCAAAAAGAGGTTTCTTGTGCTGGTTATCTCCCCTTTTTGTTTCTCAAGTCTGCGTAAAATGTTTGGTGCAAAATTAAATATACACGTGCCAAGGTTGAAATTTGCACGTGGCTTGCTTACACAGACATTCCCGGTGTAAATTTCTCACGTGTAAAATTCAAGATTGGTTGTCTGATCTTGTATTTTACACCGGAATTTTTTACACCGCCTTATCAAGTGTAAAATTTTTGGTGTAAAATTCGAACTCACGACCGGCAACAAGATTTTTACACAGAATTTTTTACACTGTTTTTTTTAACACCGAAAAAAGAACTTCAAAACAAGTGTAAAAATCTAAGAACACCCCCCCCTCTTTGGAATTTTACACCGACCCGTCTTTGCACATGAAGATTCGGTGTAAATGGGTCGGTGTAAAATTCCCCCTCCCCATATTTTATCATTTTTTTAATTATTTACTTACTAGCACAACTGGGCGGCGGGCGCCGCATCAAGGGATCACATTGGCCTGATGCCAAGTTATTGCGGACTGTGTAGATACCAGTGTCTGCAAAGGTGTCAATCTGGTCAATTATTGTCCATCAACAATTGTAAAGTGGCTTACACAATTGCACAACAACCTCATCATACTCAAATTGACACATTGTGGATGTACCATCTTCACGGACTCAGTAAGATCAAGTGAGCACTGTCAATGTTAACCAAATGACTTACAAAAACAGGACAATGAAATTAAATTCTTTCATGAAAAACAATAGCATGTGTATACCAATTGGGTTAAATAATTTCACATCCACAATCAACAATAACCATGGAGAGTCTGTCTTTGTTGCTTGTAACTTCACCAGAATACATTTGAGACTTTTGTCTACAAGTTTTTTTGTTTGACACTTTTACTTTATTCTCCTCAACTCAGGTATATAACATGTATAAAACCTTTTTAATTGCAAAACAAAAAACAAAACAACATAATCAGAATTCAAAAAGTTAATAGACTCTTCCAAACTTTACAAAAGAAAAATCCACTAATCATACATAGAAACCAATCTTAATTTTCTTGAGATTTTTCCAGCACTTGGGCCATCTTCTTAAAACAGCACAAAATTCATCTTTACTCAACCCATTCCCATCAATCCCCAACTCTTTTCTCTTAATATCACAATCCTTGATTTTTCTTCCTCAAAACTGTCAAACTGTCAGAGCAGGATTAGATTTAGTTCAGAATCAGAACCTAAATCTATCAAATCCTCACAAGTTTGAAACTCACCTTCATCCAAGAATAATGAAGAACAACTTGGATGAAGAGAGAAGATTCAGAAACTTGGCTCTTCCAGGTATTTGTATGCAATACATAATGATGAGTTAGGTTTGAATTGAGTACAAAACAATACATATGAAAACTACATAATCATATTAGTAAATGAGAAATGAAATAAAAACGAAACTGTAAACTATCATGAATGTGAAATGTTCAATTCTATATGTAACTAAAATGTATTTACTTCAACAAAAACCAACCTTATTGATATTCCACTTCTTTTGACTTTGATTATTTAAAAAACTTTGTGAAGATGAATGTTCAATGGCATCAAATACTCTTTTCCAACGGATTTCACAAACTTTTAAATTTTCTCTCATGGTTGATCTAATAATTTTCAAAATCATCTTGATTGATGATCTTCAAGTAAAGTTATAGGTCCAATGCCAATCCCATTCAAAATAATTTTATCTACAGTTAAATTAGATGGCTCTTGGCTTATTTTCAAATATGAGTTTTGTATTCTTTTGTGAATTGGTGTACTTATTCACTTAATTGACTAAATCCAGATTGTTGATGGTTGAATTCATTTGGGTGATAAGTTTGAGTTTTGTGAACTTTCTTCTTCCTCTGTGGTACTATGTACTGGGTTTTTAAAACCAAAAAAAACAAAAGATCACAGAAACAATCACAAATCTCAACTTCAAGTTTTAGGTATCTTCAATTATTTTACATTAAAATTGAAGAAATAAAACTAATTTCTAATGACTTACTTTGAACAATGACATTTAGAGCTGTATTCATGATTGTTGATGAACAGCTGACACAAAACTTTTCCAATGATCAACACAAATTGTAAACAGGTACAGGCTCAGCACAAAACACCCAAAAAGTTTTGTTTTCAAGTGTTCATCAATCATGAAGACAGCTGTAAGTTCTGATGAAAGATCTCTGATTGAATCTTTAATAATCAAACTCTCACATCTTTCTCAACAGATTACAAATTTCTTAACGAATGGATCAAAAATTGTTTCACAAGTTTCATTTAATCCAATTTCTTCAATTATTTTATTCATTTTTCATGGAGCTTCAAAAGATTATTTTTTCAATTCAATTTCATCAAGTCATTCAACAAAAGAGTCAATCAAAAAAATCAATAAATCAAATTGAAAGTATTTAATTTTGATTAATGTGAAGGACAAATGACTTGTAAGGTCATCATTCCGTTGATTGAAGACACTTAACATCAATACACAACTGACAAAAACCTTGACCAATCTCAAAAATTCTCCTTGAATAATCCCTACATTTCTTTCACAACTCCCAACTTGTACTGATAGTGAGGATCTCATTAATCCAATTGAACCATATTTTTTTCTATTCATGATTTCTTTTCTTCAGTTTGTTCTTTAATCTCTGATGATGGAATTGTACTTTTCAACCTTTTTCTAGGATCCTTGGATCTTCTGATTTGATTTTCCATGTTTCTGTTGAACTCATAATTTCTGTTCCAGTCTCTTCAAGAACTAATCAATATAAGAACCAAAAATCAGTTGATTTATTCAAGAGAAAATCAGGAAAAGGAAAAAAAGTTGGTCCAGAAGCCTTTCTATGTTTCTTTAATGCTTCGAACCAAATCCCAAACCAAATTTCATTTTTGAAAGGATTTGACAAAAATCAAAGAATAGTCTGAAAACCTTTGTCTGTAATAGATATATCAAATTTATATGTGGTGAGATCAGTTAATTTCTGTTCAGTCATTTCTGTTCAAAAAGTTGAAAATTGAGTTTAACAGAAAAACCCAAAAATCCTTGCATTAGTTTATTTTATTTGTGTTGTATGTTTGGTGATGAATTTACCATTGTATCTAAATGATCACATTTGTTCATATTCTTCAGGTTTCAGATATTTTTCCTCATAAAATTTCATGTTATATGAATTATGTGATCAAAATATAATTGAGGCTATTCGACAAAAACAACAAGTTAAATGAATAAAGCATAAGATTGACTCGAATAGGTTGTACATTGGCTTTTTCTATGATGCAAATAGGTTTTTGGATGATAAATTCATCGTCTCCTGGATATTTCCTGGTCTATACAAATACAAATAAAAAGAAAATCACTGTTAGTAATTGAGTAAACTCGAGAAAAAGGGAAGAAAATGAATGACTTGGGTTGGGGTTGTCAAATCTTGAAACGACTTGAAAATTCAAATGGATTTTGGATTTGTTGGATTTATGGAATGGGTTGTTGATAAATGGAAGTTCTTTGTCCTGGAATTGGATTACTTGAAGGAAAGAGAAAAATCAATCAAAAATCAAAATTTATATTTTTGTTCTCAGTTTTGAAATAAAAAAAGTTTAGGAAATGTTTTTTTTGGTAAGTATCTTGAGATGATCTGGACAATGATTTGGATTGAATTAATCATAATTTCATGAAGTGATTCTAAAATATTCAAGTTTGATTTATTTTTGAGTTCAATGAATCCAAGAGCTCTATATTGTTTGATAAGTTCAACCAAATCATTTGTGACATTTTTAATCTTCTCCTGATCTTCTTATTTTGTGTATTTCTTAGGATTGTTGCTGCTTGGGTTTGAACACTGATAGTGAATTATACCAAATTTGTAATTGTTGGAGTTGGTTTAACCATTGGATCTGATGCTTTTGATGTAGGGCTTTGAAGCTGCTCTATAAAATCGTCTTTGAAATTCAAGTACCATTCATGGTTTTTTGGTTTTAAGAAAAAACCAAGAACAAAGAATATCATGGATCCTTGAGCCAAATGGTATGATTAGATTTTGGCCTTGAGTGACTAACTTTGTAGTTGGAAATGACGTAATTGAACTTCTCTAGAAGAATGCAATGATCGATTGAATTTGTAATCTATTCAAACCCAAAACAAAGAAGCACATGATCAATCACAACATTAATCACAACAACAATAGCTCTTGATGGTGTTGTTGAATAATCACCTAAACCTCATTCTCCTATAGCTACTACTTTCTGCCTCGATGTTTCTAATCGTTGGTCAGACTGATCAATTCTTCAAGTTGATGATATGAAGCGTGATCGATCGGTTCAAGGGAAGCGGGAGGTGTTTGCCGGAAGCGCTTTGGTTAAAAGATTTCACAGATGGACACGAGTGCAGACATGGGTCGATTGACGGAGAGCAGCTTTCTGACCGGTGTTGAATCACGAAAATAGTGATATCAGTGGGATTTGGATCGATTCAGAAGAATAAAAGTGAAAGAGATTCGCCTTCAGTACCCTTTCGGCCTGAGTATAAGGACTGAGAGCAAGCAAAGGGAAAGCAGAAGTGAAGAGATAGTCAGTTTGAGTTGATTAGTAAATCGATCGATTGAAATCTTACTCACGCTATGATTTGATTTGATTGATTTGTAAGTTA